TTTATTTAATTAGAGTACTAGTTTAATTTTTAAAATATTTTCATTAAATTTTATTATTTTATTCACTTCTTTGATAAGATCCTCTTATATATACATAGGTAAAATACAGTAACTTAGGTTGATTGTTAAACTTCATTTAAGATTTAAGACTTAGCAATCATTGTAAAATTGTTTTTCTTACAGATAAGGCTATTCATAAAAAAGTTGTTTTAAACCAGTAACTCAAGAAGTGATGAATTACTTCACTGTGCCTTCAATTTTGGGGTCTAGCAGCATCTCTCATTAAAACAAATAGACATGTTTCTGCTTCACTTATTGTAATATGGGCCTGTTATAGTTTCTTACGAATAAAAATTTTTTTATTACTTTGAGTCTATTCATATGACATAGTAACTAAGTATAACTGAAATAATACTTTTTCGTGGGAATGGTTTGTCATTTTACTATCCAGTCACTCCTTTTTATTACTCTGAATGGGTTAGGTATAGATTTGTTGGTGTGGGTGTATACATACACATTTTTGTGATTGTGAAGCTATGCACATATGTTTTCATGTACTTGGAAGCTAAAAGTCGCTGGTCCTGAATATTCCCACCATTAATGGCCACAGGTTAATTACTCATTAGTTACTCAGTTATGAATACACAGAGTGGCGATAGAAAACTTGACTGACAGTGGCTTAAGCACATTAGGATTTATTTTTCTCATGTAAAGATAAGTCCAAAGGCTGATAAGTTCAAAGTTGCTACCCTGACTTATGGTTGTCATCACAAACTTCATTTCTTCCCGTCTTCTTTCTGCCATATGGCTTTCTTCCTTAGGATCAAAAGATGATTGCCGTATCCCAGGCCTCTGTACTTACTCCAGGCAGAAGGAAGAAGGAGGTGCCTCTGTTAGGAAAGCAGAGGGTTTTCCAGAAATCGACTCCAGCATTGCAATGTGCAAAGGAGGCTGAGAAGTCATTTGTTAAGTGGCACAAGCCATTTCCAGCAGTCGGGCTCAGCTAGTGAGCAAGAAAGGGAAGAAGATACTGAAGCACCTGGCAGTGTCTGCCACCTCCCATGTTGACCCTTTGTTTTCATTCAGATTTAATGAATGATTATTTTCCTCCTTATAAGAATAGCAGCCAGCTATTTATTTTTGAGATAGGGTCTTGGTCTGTTACCCAGGCTGGAGTATAGTGGTATGATCAGAGCTCACTGCAGCCTCCAACTCTTAAACTCAAGCAGTCCTCCCCCTTCAGTCTCCCAAGTAGCTGGGACTACAGGTGCCTGCCACCATGTCTAGCTAATTTTTTTTATTTTTTGTAGAAACGAGGTCCTGCTATGTTGCCCAGACTGACCTTGAATTCCTGAGCTCAAGCGATTCTCCTGCCTGGGCCTCCCAAAGTCCTGGGATTATAGGTGTGAGCCACCATGCCTGATCAGCAGCCAGCTATTTAAAGGTTAAACCATTTATGTTCTTCCCTCCTTCGAAGAGCATCATTTATTCATATCATTGGTAACATTTTCAAAGTTCTCTATCTGTAGTCTAGAGCTGTGGTCAAATATTGTTTCTAATTGTCTGCAGGGTAGTTCTGCTAAAAAATTTGCTAGTTTGGGCCGGGTGCAGTGGCTCACGCTTGTAATCCCAGCACTTTGGGAGGCTGAGGCAGCCTGGTCATGAAGTCAGGAGATTGAGACCATCCTGGCTAACACAGTGAAACCCCGTCTCTACTAAAAATGCAAAAAATTAGCTAGGCGTGGTAGCAGGCACCTGTAGTCCCAGCTACTCAGGAGGCTGAGGCAGGAGAATGGCGTAAACCCGGTAGGCGGAGCTTGCAGTGAGCCAAGATCGCACCACTGCGCTCCACCCTGGGTGACAGAGCGAGACTCCGTCTCAAGAAAAATTGCTAGTTATTTCAAACAGTTATGTTCAGAGCTAAGTGTAATATCTTTATGTTCGATTTGCTTATGTCAGTTGGGATTTGTCAGCATTTTCCCAAGCTAGAAACTTAAAAGAATCCTAACTTTTAAACTTCCTTTATTCTGTAATCTAGTTTGCCATCAGCTTCAGTTGCTTGCATTGAAATGCCTTGGATTTGGCCTCCCGTGTCCCTGCACACACTGTCACTACTGTAATCCAGGCTCCCCCCACCTCCTTTGTGCATTGTTTATAAGGTTTCCTAGCTGGTGCCTCCAATTCCATTCTTTTTCTTTTATTCATTGTGTGCTGGTCATTAACAGTCTAATCGCTTTGAACCCTAGCTTTCTAAAAATTTGATCTCTACTTAGAAGTTTTTAAGCTAAATCCAAATTGCTTCCCTCCTTCATCGTTTTCTTTTATAACAGGAATACTCTTCCTATTCAGTCTTTGTTTTTCTTTATTTCTTAATATAAATTGGCTGTCATAGAATGTGTTCTTCAATGCCCTATTTCCTGCTTATCACCAGTATAGAGGTACACACTGCACATTCCTGTCATAGAGACTTTTATCCTACTCTTCTTTAGTGCCCCCCAGTCCCTATCCTCAACCTGTTTTGGCCCCATCATTCCAGATCCTCTCATTCAAGGCCTAGCTTCTAAATTTCTTTCTTTTAGAACTTGACAACTCCTTCACATGTGTTTTTGTATCTATTCTAAATTATATTTTGAAGGAGTGTGGTATAATGCTTTTTATTTTGGAGTCAGATAGGTGTGGGTTTAAACTTGATTTGGCCTCTTAACTTTTTTAACTTTTAAAGCAAGTTAACCTTTCTAAGCTGTAATAGTAGAGTAATGCTTAGTATTAGAGTTCATTGCATGAGAGCAGAAACCCAGAATAATAGTATCATAAACAAAGTTGAAGTTTAATTTTCTCTCACATGAAAGAAGTCCAGAGGTGGGTAGTCCAGGGCCAGTATGGTAACTTCATGTTCATCTGGGATTCACACTTTTTCCCCCACTTCCATTCTAGTGTGATTTCTATATCAAGATTGAGATTACCACATAGTCCAAGATGGCAGCTGGAGCTCCAGCTCTCATAGCTGCACTCCAGATAGAAGAAGGAGGGAGAGAATAAGGAAAAAGTGGCCTGCTTTTCAGCTCAGTTAGGTTTGTTTACCTAGCCTTCTGGAAGTCCCCTACAACCCTTCTGCTTACAAGCTCATTTTAGCTAGAACTTAGTCACATGACCACTACTTGCTGGGAACTTGCAGCTTGTTAGTTGGTACATTCCTGCACAAAGTAAAATTAGTGTTTTGTTACTAAGGAAGAAGAGGATAATGTGGCTACTGGCAAACTCACCATAGTTAACTGTAGTGGTGCCTAGCACGTGGTAGGGCTTAACATGTATCTTTTTGCCTCTTTTTTTCTGTGGTCAGCTCAAATTCTTCTTTGTTTCAAGTGTATCTTATTTTTCCAGCTACATTGAAAGTGTCTTGGGGGATAAGGACCATCTGTCATATTTCTTTGTTGTGCTTCTAAACACCTAACAGTGCTTGCACTTGGATCACATAATAGGAACTTAATATGTATTTGTTAATTAATTTATTTTACTTTCTACTAGGGCCATCTTTTAGTCTCTTGCTGGATTTTCCCCCCCATTTGGGTATTTAATATTTTTCCATCAACTGTAACTAGTGGCAATCATGAGAGTTCACACTGAATATTTTCATTCCTTTGGTAATTTCTTCTTTTCTAATGCCTTAAAAATTACCCTGTGGATCAATAACCTAACATTTTATCTTTCTTTAAGTGTGTTTAAAATTTTTTTCACCTGATGCTTCAGTATAAATTCCGTAAAATTGAACCCAAAAAGTAATGCATATATGTATATTACATATGTCTGTTAAATAGGTACAGATCTCTACTATACCTCTTCATTGTGAATATATAAAATGTGAATTTTCTTTTCTTTTCTTTTTTTTTGGAGACAAGGTCTCACTCTGTCCCAGGCTGGAGTGCAGTGGTGTGATCACGGTATCACGGCTCACTGTAGTCTTGACCTCCTGGGCTGAAGCAGTCCTCCCACCCCAGCCTCCTGAGTAGCTGGGACTACAGGTGCATATCACTATGCCTGGCTAATGTTTTAAATTTTTTTGTAGGGATGAGGTCTCACTATGTTGCCCAGGCTGGATGAATCTTCAAAATGCTATGTTTGAAAAGTCCTCAGGAAATGATTTTTCTGTGCATATTTGGCTTACTAATTTGTTTATAAGGAAGTTCAATGGATTGAAAAACTGCCTAGTTTTCTACCATTCACATTTCTTTGTCAAATGCTTTTGACTTCTAGTTTTCTTTTACTCCCAACTATGGATGAGAAGAGAAGAATGATTGGAGACAGGAACTCCCTGCAAGCAGATAAAGTTGTAGTAGTATTACTGGAAGCTTCTTTCTCATCTGCTTGACCTGACTTAATATAAAAAATAGGGTCTTACAGTATCAAAGTGTCTTGGAATAGAAGAGTTTAGATGAGTTATTTTTATTCTGCTTTGGAACTCATTAGATAAATATTTTAAATATTCTCTATGGCTCCTTCAGAAGTGTTCTTTCACAGGCATGCATTACATCATCAGTATAGAATATACAAGTATAATACAATTTCTCTCATACCCTATCACCAAGATGCTAATATGTTTATATACTCAATCATACATATGTCTTATATAAACACATGTGGCGATACTAAGAGATGAAGATATGCTGCTGCAAATTCTTCTTGGAACAAAGGTATAAATAAATAAAAGTTATAGATCATCTAGTTTTAAACACTCAAAAATAGTAGGGTAGTCATACATGAATGGTTATTTGATTTAATGTTTAGGTAGAATATTAAGTGAGTAGAAGAGAGGGGCCTCATCTGCAGGGTAGCCACACAGTGTTAATAAGGATGAGAATAGTTTTAATATTAGCTAAAAGTCACAATAATTTTATGATACTTTTTTAATGATACTTTTTGTTTGGTATACAAATGACATAGAGCCATTTATAAAAAGCTGATATTTCCTTATAGCTTGACTTTATTTGGTTTTGTTCTCATAGATGTTTTCTCCCAGATGTCAGATTCCAATGGCTTAATGATATTTAGCAAGTTTGACCAGTTTCTGAAGGAAGTTCTGAAGCTCCCAACAGCTGTCTTTGAAGGGCCATCTTTTGGTTACACAGAGCACTCAGTCCGCACCTGTTTTCCACAGCAGGTAAGGACAGTTTTATAGAATCTAGGGCTAGAAGAGCGCTCTTCCCTCTCTTCACCTTCTAACAGATTTTGCCAGATTGCTTGCAGTCTAGTAAGGTCTTGAGTAGGGGAGGAAAAAAGCTTTAAAGGTGGTGGTGGGGAGTGGATGAGTAAAACCGGCGGGTAAAAACTCACCTGAAAACTCTTTTATGGGGGAACTGGGGGCGGGGTGGGGGGGTGTCTTTTTGGAAAAAAATGAAATATTTTAAAGAAAAATGTTTAAGAACAAGTGTGTACATTTTTGTTACAGGACATATATTACTTTTTCAGAGGAGTTCTTGAAACCATGAGATAAGGGAATCTTGATATAAAACCATGTAACTGTACTGCATTGTTTCCTGAGTGCTGGTGACAGGGAACACTATACAGCTCTCACCTGCCAGTATAAAATCCCTCAAGGGTACACTACCATTTTCATGTTAGAAAAAGATGGATTTTATTTCCTTCTGGTGGTTTTGACCGAGAGGCTGGAATGAGTGCGTTCCTGAAATCTTAACCATGCTTCAGAGAACTGTCTACACCTAGTAAATGGATGCTACAGCCAGTGTCCATGCCTCAGCCAGAGGGTAGACACTGGCTGCAGCATCCATTTGTTAAGATAGAGATTAGATAAAAGAAGCTTAATGTTAAACTTACCTAGAAAGTTCTCGAAAGGAATTTAAAAACACTTTGCTAAAACTAATAGGTAAAAAATTAATGGAAACAGGATATTGACATAGTCTAAAAGTATCTCCCCATAAGATATTTATTAATTACAAAAAGAACATAGTAACTTTACAGTGGAGAAACTGATCAGATATCACTTTACCAAGTGATCAAAATCCCTATCACCACTAAAGGGATAAACTGATACCGCCTGCCTCCTGCTAGGACGCGTTGAGAAGTACTCAATATCACTTCTCCAGTAACTCCTGCCAAGAAAGCATAAGCTGAATCTCATCCCAAGGAAACATCAGACAAACTCCAACGAAGGAATTGCTACAACCTAACTGGCCTTTATGCTTCAAAAGTGTCAATAATAGGAAAGATTAAAAAAGACGAAGAAATGTTCTACGTAAAAAGAGTTTAAAGAGACATGAAAAACTGAATGAACTCACAAGCCAGGATTTTCTGTTGCTATAACGGACGTTATTGGGACAATTGGAAAAATCTAAATATAGTTTATAGACTGGATGATAGTATTGCGTCAGTGAATGTTAACTTCCTGATTTTGATATTTGTACGTCATTATTTAAGAGCATGTCCTGTGTTTTAAAAAATTTGATCTGAACTATTTAATGATAAAGGAGCATCCTTCTGCAGTGTTAACATTTGAGGAATCTTGGTTCAGGGAAAATGGGAATTTTTTGGTAATCTGAGAACCTTTTTGTAAGTCTGAAAATTGTTGAAAGATAAAAAGCTAAACTATAAAAGGAACACATTTAAAGGTTTGAGAACTGAAAGGATGTTGTAAACTAGATCCTCCTGACCTGTGATTCAAAAAAGAATGAAAAACACATACACACATGGCCCCCTCCCCACCTACACACTTTTTTACATTTTAACTTAAGAATTCATGGTTATTTGAATTCAGACTTTCAAATAGTTTTTAGTTTCTTTAGAGGTTATTCAGCTTTAGCATTGAAGGTAGCACCCATGATAATGGAGAATTATTTTTAGTAACATCTGAGGAGATATTCTTCCAAAATTTGCGTACACTTTGCCTGATTGGTTTTGTGCAGATTTGCCTGTATGCACTGTTTATTTTTTCTTTCAGTATAAATGGCAATCAGCATCAGCTTTTAGCATATTAAAAATATCTCTGTGCTTCAGTTTATTCTAATGAAACATAGTTCACATTCCCCACCCCACCCCCGCCCTCCAAATATGCGTTTTCAAATGATATAAGGTTGTCTGAACATAATCCTGGTACAAGAATGCCCTTCAGGTATTAATGTGCCCTTCAGGGATGTAAGTGAAGATGAGTATGATGAAGTCACAGCTCGGAGCCCCTCTCACTGCTGCTCTTGCTGCTGCCTTAGAGGTATCATCACCTTCCATGGTGGCCCACACAATATTCTGGGGTAATCTTGTGTATGATGTTCACATGGCTTTTCACACAAGATGCTTCCTGGAGGTCAGGCTAAAATGGATCAAGTTCTGGAATGGTACTCTTTAGCAAAACTGTATTGGAATGGGGAAGGGAATTTACACAAAGAACTATTCAGTGATGAACATTGAGAAATGGATGACAGTTATGTGGGGGTACTAAACCTAATCTTTAATTTAATTGCAACGTGAGTATTCCGATGAGAATCTGGTGTTGGAATAACAGTTTAAAATGTTGAAGAAATTTTAAAAAGTACAGCTGTTAATTCTAAGAATGCTATCTAGGATTCTGCACATTAACCTTATGACATACATTTGAACTCACAACGTGATCATTACTTTTTACCTGCTTCATTCATATTCCTGTAAAAAAAAATCAATCTGCGTTTTTGTATGTGTCAAATTTGGAAAAGAGAAGTTTATCCCAGTCCATGAAAATGTTAAAAAAAAAAAAAACAAAACAAAAACCCTCAGAGGAAATAGAAATCACTCATAGAATATACTGATATATTGACCAAGAAATGAGACAGCTTGGACAAAGTTTCATGCTGGAAGAGTTAAATTCAATGAGTTTTTCGTTCCTTTTTGAAAATGGGCTTTTCTCATTCAGTTTGTTTTGCTTCAGTATGTGTTTCCTTAATGGGAATCAGATAGAAAACAATGTTGATACAAATTAGAAATTGCGCTGTTTTTTCATATGCACTTTCCCCCAGCATTTTGATGTTCTGTGCTGAACAAAAAAGTGATCACAATTAAAGAGAAAGTATGACTATTTTAAGAAAGAGGGTGAAAATCTTGCAGTACCTTCCTTTAGGGAGAGAAGTGACTGGTTTCAAGGACCCATGAGCTGCTTCGCCTCGTGCAGTGCTGTGATGATGAAGCTGCAGCTGAGTGAAGAGGCTGTGAAGACGTTTTGCTCCTGTGCTCACATGATCGATGGACAGAATTAAGCTTTCCCCTGGATCTGATACCTAGTTTTGATGAAACCGATCTGTTTTGGAAGTTGTGTGCTTGTCTCACGAAGAAGGAAATCAGTAGCTCAGGATTGAAGGCGGAAAGACACCATCCGACAGTGACTCCAGTGCATGTGCCTGGGGGGATTTAGTTGGGCCGATTATTTTGTTTGTCCTCTATTTACAAAGCCATCTAGATTTTTAGTGGTTGTTCCAACTCTGTTTTCCTCATATACCTTATGATTTTTAAGTCCACAGTGTTGTACTCTGCACGCCTTTCTGTTATAGCATTTTGATGTAAAGAAATTTTAGCTTCTTTCTTAATGTAACACATTACAGCAGAAATGTTTTTTTTTTAATGATATGAAGAGAATTACACATTGGTTTATTTTAATATAGTTTTAATTCTTTTTTAAAACACTTTTTTTTTTTTTTTGGCTTGGAAAACTAACCCAAAATAAAGTCTGTGGATTATGTAATTTAGTTGTTTTTAAAACACAAGAGAAATAAAATGCGTTTATAAGTTAATTCAGCAGAACCCGTCTATTAGGATAGCTAAAATTAGATACTGATTTCAAGTATTGGTAAAGATATTTGGAACATCCAGTACTCTCAACAAACTGCAAGAAGCCTTAGTGGTTTCTTAATAAAACTAATCTGACATCTCCTCATGACCTAGCAATTAAATTAAAACCTAATCCTAGGTTTTAAGACTTTTCAGGGGTGCTCTTATCAACTATATTCATACTAGCCCCAAACCGGAAGCATCCTGGATGTCCATTATTTTAAAAAAATTGGGGAAAAGTTAATTTAAGAGATAGTATGTCTGAATTTGCCCCAAAATAATGAAGGTTGGAGGGAAAGTAAAAACAAAAATGAAAGCAAATTAGTCATATGTTAAGAACTGTTGAAGCTGGATAGGCTTTTTTTTTTTTTTGAGACAGGGTCTCACTCTGTTGCCCAGGCTGGAGTACATTGGCACAATCTTGGCTCACTGCAACCTCTGCCTCCCAGGTTCAAGCGATTCTCCTGCCTCAGCCTCCCAAGTAGCTGGGATTACAGGTGCCTGCCACCACGCCCGGCTAATTTTTGTATTTTTAGTAGAGATGGGGTTTCACCAGGTTGGCTAGGCTGATCTCGACCTCCTGATCTCAGGTGATTCTCCTGCCTCGGCCACCCAAAGTGCTGGGATTTTAGTTGTGAGCCAATGTGCCTGGCTGGGATGGGCATATTATACTATTCTCTCTACTTTGATGTATTTTTAAGAATTGTAATAATAGAAAAATTGTCATTGCAAATTTGTGATTGTGATTATTATCTGAACATAGTACAGTACTGTTATAGCACCCCAAGACTAATGCTTTGGTGAGTAGCCCAGATATATTAACATTCTTCAGGGTTTACAAACTAACTGACTTTCAAGGCTTAAAAGTTACTTAAAATAAGCAGTAAATGTATTTAAATTTCTCCCCAAAGTTTCCGAACTTTAGGGTTCTAAAAAGTGCAATATTTCTCCTTAGAAAGGAGATGTTATTTGTTATTTATTAGATCTTCATATTGATGGCATCTGTGGCCCATCTAGAACGGCCACTGCCACGATGCTGGCTGCATTGGGGGAGGCGGTGGGACAGGGCTGCATGCTCCGTAGAGCTGGCGGGAGCCAGGAACAGGCTGAAGCTCCACTCTATTCTCAGTTGACAGGGTGGGAGCTTTGCCTTCCCCGGGCGCAGCTGCAGCCAGTCAAGCCATGGCTGCAGACCGGGCATCTCTGCACTGTCAGGGGCCTGGGAAGGCTGCCCTTGCCCCCACAGGCTTGGAGGTGTCTGCTCCCACTGCCTGGCCTCTCCCTGCTCCCAACGCCTGCTCCAGTGTCAGAGCGAGGCTCAGGCCAAGCTTGGGCACTGCTGCAGCCTGGCCGGGTGTGCACACGCTCGGGGCAGCATTGACATGCTGGCCCCTGCCACCTCAGCCCTCCCAGACTTTGGGCACTAACAGGCATGGGAGGAAGGCCACGGGGGGCTGAGGGCATCTTGGCACTGGCCTGCAGGTGCTCTTTGGCATGAAAACCTGGGTGCCATGAACAGTAGGAGGCAGACAGGTCCCTGGGTAGAAGAGCCTGGGTTCCCGGTGAAGCCCCACCTTCAAGCCAGGGAGGGCCTGAAGCCTGGGGGTCCGGCTGCCAGTCCTGTGGACTGGAGTGAGAACTTGTGCTTTTTCCAGGCCCACCCATGGCCACCCATGGACCAGTCAGCATGTACTTCCTCCCCTTTAAGGCCCATAAAAGCCCTGAACTCAACCAAACTCGAACAAATGACGGGATTACCAGCTGTGGAGAGGAGCTACCCACTCCAGGATCTCCTCTCTGCCAAGAGCTGAACACTTGTTGGGACACTCCGACTGTGGAGAGGAGCTACCCACTGCGAGTCTCCTCCAGACTGTTCTGTTGCTCAGTAAAGCTCCTCTTTGCCTTGCTTACCCTCCACTTGTCCACATACCTCATTCTTCCTGGGTACAGGACAAGAACT